AGGGGAGGGAGGGAGGAAGGAAGGAAGGAAGGAAAGAAAGAAAGAATGAAAAGGAAGGAAGGAAGGAAGGAAGAAAGGAAGGAAGGAAAGAATGAATGAATGGAGACCCAGTTCAGAAGGAAGATCCTGGGTTCAACCTCTACTCTGAGAACAAGAACAATAAGAACAACAACAAAACGAGAAAGGAAAAGGTAAAACTTGTCTGTAAATAAACAGTGTTACAGATCCACAACTGGTACCTATTAATCCTACACGTGAAAATTGCATTGTTTAAGTAATTTGTAGTAAAATTTGGCTTGAACTATTTAAAGTCTATCCCATTTAATGTGACTATTCATACATTTCACTGAAAAATGTGTGATTATTTCTTCCCATATAATGCTTAAGAAAGTAAGATTAAAAAGACGAGGCAATTAAAGAACAGTACCCATGAGATATTTAAGTTGTATATATTCAACAGTTGAAGTGCATGGTACAAATAAATTCTATGTATTATCAGGGCAGGAATAAAATAACTGTGGAATTTAGTTCTACCTTTCAGAAAGGTGAAAATAGTTTACTGACTGATTCATTGTATACTCACATTTAGCACACCTCCTTTAATGGGGAAAATACAGTTTCTGAAATGAACTCTAATTTGCTTGAATAAAAGAAGGTATCTCTGATTTTTTAGAACTTTTCTTTCATCAAATTTAAGCCACTGAATAATGAAAGTTCTGTGGCCTGGATGCTTCCAACATCTTATCATGCCATGAACTGGCCTCGAGATGTAGGTGATCATTGTTATATAAAATAAAGAATTCAGGCCAGGCATTGTGACGGACGCATGCCTGTAATCCCAGCACTCTGGAGGCTGAGGCAGGAGGATCACTTTGAGTTCGAGACCAGCCTGGGCTACATAGTGAGTTCCAGGTCAGTCTCAACTACATAGTGAGACCCTGTCTCAAAAAACAAAACAAAATAATTCCATTTCCAGGAGTTGGATTGAATTTAAAACAAGATTCACTTGAGGTCCATGACTTTAATATTTGCTTAGCTGTCTTTGCAGGCTGCGGCTTATTCCATTCCATTTTTACTAGCCACAGCTTCCCAACCCTTGATTCCTGCCTGGTCTGGTCTGTTTCAGGCAAGGTCAGAGTGCCCTGTGTTGAGGCTGTAAGCGCAGTTCTTGCTGCCAACTCCTCTGTGATGTTTTACTGTTCTGTCCCTAAGGGGGGAGGGTGAAAAAGAAAGAGGAGGAGGAAAAAAAGAAGAAAAGGAGGAAGAAGAAAAGGAGGAGGAAAACACCTTGAAATTTCTAGTCCACCTGTCCCCCTTCACAAAGTACTTTTACACTACTAAAGAAAGAAATATTTTTCTTCAGTACCTGTTGCATTGCTGTCAGAATACATGATGGTTAGAAGAAGGAACTCTAAGAAATGACTCAAAGTCCAACTCTGCCACACTTACCAGCTTTGTTAACTCTGAGCAAATAATTTGAGCTCTTTGCCTCGACTTTCTTATCTGTAAAATGGGGGCAATAGCACAGCAGTAAATTATTCTTGGCAATGCATAGACAACATTTAGCAAAGTTATTTCTGTTTCATGGAACAACTCAAGAAACATTAGCATTTTGCCAATATAGCAGTGAATAAACCTGTAAAACTCCGGAGTTTTAGTTTGCAAAATTTTCCTCCATTGTGTGACCTATTTTCTACTGTGTGTTCAGTGGCTGCCACATATCTAGTGTGCCACATATCATACTAACCACACAGTCACATGTCTATGGAACCGTGTCTTTCAAAGTCCCCAAGAATTGTGAGGTTTCATGATTCCCTTATTCAAGTGTTCCTGGCCAGTTATGACTGCGACCCGGAGTTTATCATGGCTTTGGAGCTTTTAGCCCTTCCATTTTATTATCTTTTAAGCCTTCAGTTTTAAAAGTCCTATTAAATACATTGCTGTTGAGTCATTTTACTTGAAAAAAGTCCCTTTCCCACCTCCATACTAGAAATAGACCTGATATGGCTTGCCTGGCCACTGATAGTTAAAACCTGGCCTTATCAGTGGTGAATGAGAGAAACACAGTTTATAGGCATCGAGTCTTATCATACTGGGGATGACAGCTTTCAAAAAATGAGTATGAAATTTAGATTTACTGTATACACTGGCACTTTCATTTTTGAAGAACATGACACAATGTCTAAAGTGAAAACTCACTTCTGTATTTTCTTATTACCTACTATGTGCTAGGCATTTAAATATTTTTAATTAAGTAGAGTAATTTAATCAATCAGGTACAGTAGTGTTTAATTTAATTAGGTACAGTAATATTCACTGTACAAGTTTTGATGGACATAAATGCACAACTAAATTGTGGAACAGCCCCATTGTTCCAAAGAACTCCCTAGGCTCCATAAAGTTATCTCTAGCCTTGACAAAACACTAACCTGCTTCTGGATTCTGTAATCATTTTTCACATACATTATGTCAATTAATATTGCATAAAATAATCTGAACAATAGTTTCCCTGTGCCACAGAGTTCACTGAATATTTTTCATTTATTACTATTGATGATAAATGTTTTGTATCCTCTTAGGTTTAAAAAAACAACACCTACATCAGGTCAAGTGATTGGCTTCCCTTTAATTAAAACTGATTGCTTTCTTTCTTTTTTTTTTCAGCTTTAATTGAGTTTATTGGTACATTTTAGGGATACAGTACAGTTACACTCATTACTGGGATCTTGTACCTTTACATGACAGGTCTTGGCTCTCATTTTTTCCCCTTGTCCCTGCCCTCCCTTCCCCCCTCCTCCCCTCCCCATTTACAAAAACTTTATTATTTCCTCTCCCTCTCCCTCTCCCTCTCCTTCTCCTTCTCCCTCTTCTTCTTCTTCTTCTTCTTGCCAGTTGTTTTAGTCAGGGTTTGCAAGGTAAATAGATTTAATGCAGGATACATAATTTATAGGATCATTTTATAACAGTCACCCAAAAAGTCAAATGCAGGGGAGCACAAGAGACCTAGCCACTCCCAAGGAATCTAAAGACCCAAAGAATCTGGCCAAGGGCCTGAATCCTACAGCCCAGGTCCAGCTGAAGGCCTACAGCCCAAGGCACTGTCCTCCAAGAGTCCAGCCAGTGTCCTAGAGCCCACGGCAATGTCTCACGCAGGCCCATATAGAGGATCTGCTCTGGGAAGGTCCAAAGGCCAGTGGTAGAAGCTAGAAAGACTGTGCCAGCAGGGTGAAGAATTTGTGCCACTAAGCTAAGGGCACTAACAGAGCGCTCCCTGCTGGAATAGCAGCCATTCCCAGCGATAGTAAGGACCTAAGTTCCTCCTCTGACAAGAATAGCCAAGTTCACATCAGGAAAACAAACCACAGCACACTTCTAGAAAATCAACATCCCAGGATCTTCCCTTCTAGTTTTCTTTTTAAACTGTTGGCAGAAGTCCTCAGGTAGGTCTTCCATGCCCAGACCACACTGAGTCAGTTCAGCTGGGTGTCCCAAGCTGACCATTAGTTATTCCACCAGAGCAGTGTAGACAATCTTTGTATAGTCAATATCTATGAGTGATTTGTTCAGTTTTGGAGCACAGTTTCACGCAATGTTATTGTGGTCAGATAACTGATGAATGGGTCAGTGTTATAATATAGATTACATATGATCAATCAGACAGATAGATAGAGACAGATACACATAAACAGACATAGAGATCCATATGGGTCTACTTTCTTAGAACTTATTCTGACAGATTCTTCAGTTTCTTCTTCTCCTTCTCCCTCCTCCTCCTCCTACTCTTCCCCCTTCCTCCTCTGCCTCCTCCTTCCTATTTTCTTCTTTAATTTTCAGTGTCCATTGCTGATTCTAACAAGCAATAACATGGTATCCATAAGAAGCCACTGAAGAATTTTAAGTTTTGGAGCCCAAAATTATATATTTTGAAAAGCGTCCAAGTAATACCAATGCTAGTCATGCATATAATACATAACAATAAACATACTCTTGCTAAGTTCTAAAGTACTTGGAATTCCTGGTACTAAAAAGAAAAATGAGGAAGAGATCATCTCAAGATTACTTATTTGGGCCAGAGATGTAGCTCAATAGCATAGCATCTGCCTGGCAAGTGTGAGGCCCTAAGTTCAATTTCCAGTACCAAAAAAATATAAAATACAATAAAGCATTTGGAGATTGACAAAAAAGACTTTTAGCATAGTTTATTATCTTCTAAATTGTGCTTGCCAACACTTTAGAACTGCTGTCACTTTCTTTCCCAAGAATTCTACACCCTTTCAAAT